GCAATAGTGAGTCTGTTCACAGAGAATCCAGCAGTATTGCCTTAAGGTCCCATCTTCGCTGCTGAGGAAGCTCSCCCCTAAGACCAGATAGGAGGCACAGGTGGCTCCAGCAAGCCAATGGGTGGCCCATTTGATTCCCTACACACACTAAGTCCCGTTCCATACCCATTCAGCGCCAGGGTTGCCTCAGCAGACTCACAGATGTCTCGCTCCTCAATGAGCCACCAGCTCTCGCTGTGGCTCTCAGTGTCCATTCCCCTGGCCAGTGCCACAGCTCCCTGTGCCCTCCCTTATGCAAAGGGTGGGCAGTTCWYGSCCTCTGGTCCAGGGCTCCCTCCAGCCAGAGCTCAATCTGCAGCTGGCACTGCAGCTGCACACCCAGATCCCTGCCCTGAATGGATTCCTCAGCAGCTGCCTGCCTTGGGGCCTCATCCTGCAGCAAGAGGAGCCTCAAGAAAGCTGCAGAAAGCCTTCTTACAAGGGCAGGCAGTGATGGAAAAAAGGGCAGTGGCCTTCCAGTGACACAGGGTAGGTTTAGATGAGAAACTCAGAAGGAATTCTTGACTGTGAGGGTATTGAGGCACTGGCATGGGTTTATCAAGGACAAGTTTCTGAGCCAGGCTCTGGACACTCTGGACTGTGTCTAGTGCAAGCCTTCCCCATGGCTGGAGGTCAGATTTAGATGACCTTCAAGGATCCTTCCAACCCAAACCATTCTAAGACTCCTTGATTTGATGTGACTCCTCATCCTTTGGGCCCCCATGCCACAGACTGCAGTGTCCTGAACACAGAACCCACCCCTCCATGACATCAGCCCCAGGGCTGAGGGCAGTGTGGCTGCTGTGGGCACTGCAGCTCTGGCTGTGCTGCTGCAAGGAGCTCTCCGTGCCTGCAGCTGACTCGTGCCTCTGGCAGCCATGAATTGGCTGAGATCCCTCATCCTGCTGGCTGTGGCTGGACTGGCACACAGTACAGGGGACAACTGTGTGTGAGTGGCCCCAGGCCCTGGGAGGGATCCAGGGTCACACTTTGGGCCTTCCCTGGAGGAGGCCTGCCTGTCCTCTGTGGCTGGTCCACAGCTTCTCGCTCACCATGGGGCAGCCTCAGTTCCTTGGCAGCAGCCAGGTGCTGGCACAGACAGATACACACCCCATGGGCTTCCCTGGCCTGCTGTGGGTRCAAGCCCTTGTGGGGAGGGCAGAGGGCTGAGCTCCAGCCTAACCCACAGCGGGCCATGGAGCATGATGGAAATTACTTTCTGCTTGCAGAGCAAACTGTGGGGTCCGGACCATGGCGGCTGACTCGGGGCAGTGGAGTCATGACTTCAGCATGACACGCATTGTGGGTGGCACAGATGCCAAGCCAGGGTCCTGGCCCTGGATTGTCAGCATCCAGCATTCCAGGATATGGATAGCAGGCACAAAACATCTGTGTGGAGGATCTCTGATCAGAGCACAGTGGGTCCTCACAGCAGCCCATTGCTTCGACTTCATCAGGTAACAAGGGACAGGTAATATCAGGTGCCCTGTCAGCAGTGTGACTTGCTGTCTCCCATCCCCTTT